ACCTGGGATCAAACCCACAACCTTTTGTACGGGATGATGCTCCAACTAATTGCACCACCCGGCCAGAGCTAAAATTTTACAATTTTTAAGTATATAACTCTGCAGCATTAAGTCATTCACGTCACCACCATCCATCTCCAGAACTTTTCATCCCAAACTGAAACTCTACATATTAAACAGAAATTCTCTACCCTCTCCTCCTCCCGCCTCCTGATAATCACTATCCTACTTTCTGTCTCTGTGAATTTGAGCATTTCAGGTACCTCCTATATGTGGAATCATACAATTTTACCCCTTTGTGACAGGCTTATTCCATTTAGCATAATGTCTTCAAGGTGCATCCATTTTGTAGTACATGGAAGAGTTTCCTTCCTTTGTAAGGCTAATAGTTCATTGTGTGTGTGTATGGCATTGTGTTTGTCCCTTCATCCATTCATGGACACTGGAGTTGTTTCACTTTTTAGCTATGTGAATAGTGCTGCTGTGAACATGGGTGTACGAATTATCTGTCTGGGTTCCCGCTTTCATTTCTTTGGGGTATATATCCAGAAGTGGAATTGCTGGGTCATATGGTAATTGTGTTTAATTGTTTAAGAACAGTGAAGGCATGGGCTGCTGTTTGTTGTGTTCGCTGATCTATGGCCAGAGCCTAGAACAGAGCCTGGCACAGAGTACACAGTCAATAAATACTTGTTGAATTAGCGTTTCGTTTCTCTATGAACTTAGACACTCTGTCTAAGAAGGCTGTGCAGCTTGTCTGCGCTGCTTGCTCGCAGTGGTCCTGTACTAGCCCCTAATGTGTGCTATTTCAAGATCAAGGCCCCCAAAGCAGGCCCCAATACCTTGTTCTAGAATTTGGCTGGGAAACAATGTCAAGATCACCAGCTGCTTACAGAATCCACCTTCTTTCTATGGCTCGTCCAGCTCCTGGCCCCTCTTTCTTTCTCAGAAGCTCCTACATCACCAGTAGTGACCCATTACGTGTTCTTTCAGTGCCCTTGGCTGTCATTTATCTGGATTCCTTTTAGATTAGTCTAGTGATTTCTGGCTCCTGTCCCTTCTCTTAAGCTCACTTCCCCCCATCAACAAGCTCCTGCTGCTGCTTCTGTGCAAAAATCATTCTCTTTGGTAGGAGACAGAGACAAAAAGGGCCAGAGGAATCCTGCTTTCTCTCTTACCTCCAACCTGACATCTTCAGGCCCAAACAGCACACTTAGCCTTTTCCCTGTTCTTGCTCCATATATAACACTTTTTAAATGTATTTGCCAACTTGAGCTATATAGAGCTCCCTGGCATTCTTCTTCTAAGTCTCTGGTAGGCATTTCTGCTATAAAATTTTATGTGCATTTTTTAAAAGACCCACATTCTGAAATTATACTACTGGAAATGGGCTTACAGTGGTCGGATTAGGGCCGACCGCTCAACACATATGAAGCTCTGTAATGAGAACCCTAAAAATACAACAACAATCTCAAAATATTTGACAGTTAAGTCCCCACCAGCATTTAACCCTCGAATCCCTGCCAGTCCTTTGCCCGCTGTGTGCTGGGTTGTGTGTTTCCTCCTCTTAGAAGTAGGTTCCAGCCCAGCTGGGCATGGCTCAGTGCTTGAGCATCGACCTAGGATCCAGGCAGTCGGGGTTCGATTCCCTGTCAGGGCACATGCCCAGGTTGCGGGCTGCAGCCGATCAATGACTCTCTCATCACTGATGTTGCTATCTCTCCCTCTCCCTCTCCTTTCCTCTCTCTGAAATCAATAAAGATATATTTAAAAAAAAAAAAAAAAAGTAGGTTCCAGCCCAGCTGGGCGTAGCTCAGCGGTTGAGCATCCACCTAGGATCCAGGAGATCACGGTTAGATTCCCAGTCAGGGCACATGCCCGGGTTGCGGGCTCAATCCCCAGTCGGGGGCATGCAGAAGGCAGCCAATCAATGACGACTCATCATTGATGTTTCTGTCTCTCTCACAAGTGGCATCTCATCACTTCCATGGTATTCTGTTTGTTAGAAGCAAGTCCCTGGGTCCAGCCCACACACAGGTAGAGGGGTTTACACAAGGGTGTAACTACCAGGAGGCCAGAATCATTGGGAGTCATCTTAGAAGCTTCCTACCACACTCTCATTTTACAAATCAAGAAACTGAGGCCCGTCCGGGCGTGGCTCAGCGGTTGAGCATCAACCTGGGATGCAGGAGTTCGCAGTTTGATTCTCGGTCAGGGCACATGCCTGGGTTGCAGCCTCGATCCCCAGTCAGGGGCGTGCAGGAGGCAGCCGATCAATGACAACTCTCTCATCATTGATGTTTCAACTCTCTCCCTCTCCCTTCTTCTCTCTGAGATCAATAAAAGTATATTTTTTTTTAAAAAAAAGAAGAGAAGAAACTGAGGCTCAGAGGTTTAGTTACTTCCTCAGTCACCTAATTATATCCTGGGGTAGGAGTCCAACACAGAGCAGCTTTCCCTTTTAATCACTAAGCACATAAACAGTCGCCTTAATAATATTGTAAGCAGTTGCTACTATGTAATGCACATATGTTCTCTCATTTGATCTTCACAATAGCCCCACAAAGTTGGTTAATATAGTTTCCATCTGTAATGGATGAGAATCCATTAGTGAATTAAGAGATGTGACCATTTGCCCAAGGCCACAAAGTAGCTGAGTGTATCCCCATTCCTCAAGAAGAGAGGAGAACAGTGGAGAAGGGTTTGGCCTGGCCCAGCTGGTGTTGCTCAGTGGTTGAGTGTCGACCCATGCACCAAGAGGTCACCAGTTCCATTCCCAGTCAGGGCGCATGCCCAGGCTGCAGGCTGGATCCCCAGCAGGGGGCATGCAGGAAGCAGCCCATCTATGTTGATGCATCATTGTTTCTCTTTCTCTTCTTTCTCTTTCCCTCTACCTTCTTCTCACTCTAAAATCAATAAAAACATATTTTTTAAAAAAGAAGGGTTTGGCCTGGCTAAAAAACAACAACAACAGGGGAGGCACTTTCAGCAGCCTACCTCTGCCTTCGCTTGCAGAACCAGGACGGTTCGTCAGGCCTCCCCTTAGCCTGGGCAAAAAGACCCCTCAACAGCATTGCCCCCTCTTAGCACTGCTCCTAGGCCCACCAGACCACTGCGGGTCACTTAATTTCACTTGTCCTGGCTGGAAACCTGAGGGTGTCAGGCACTGGACAAGAATCACACTCATGCCCTATGCTCCAGCCGTACTGACCTTTGAGTCCTCTTGTTTCAGAGCTTTGACCCAGGCTCTTCCCTCTGCATAGAATGTGCCCCACCTCCCACTCCTTTTCCCTGTAAACTCCTACCCCTGCTTCTGCCAACACAAATCCTACTTCCTGGGGAGGCTGTCCCTTCTGGAAGACTAGACCAGACTCCTCTGTCACATGCTAAGTACCCGGATATTTCCTTTGCCGCATGCATCGTAGTTCTTAGTTGTGAACTGTGGTGTGGTGAAGGGTAAGCTCTGTGAAGGTAGCCACGTCTTTGCTCAGCATTACATCCCCAGTGTGCCTAGCACAGTACCTGGCACACAGTAGACAGTTAATGAGTGTTGCTGTTATCATCTGTTGAATGAATATTGAGATGCCTCCTGTGGATCATTGCAGGATCAGCCAGCCAGTTTTTCCCTAGGGTACTTCTGTCCTGTAGTAACCTTAACTTAATTGTTACCTTTTCAAACATTCATGCTAAAATGCTAACTAGAGAACTGAAGGGCTTCCTGACTTCCCACTGAAAACATTTAAAAGGGATTTCTGGAGACCACTGGTTCTGTAGTGTTCCCACCCAGGGTAATGACTTTCGGGGTGGGACGCTCAGGCTCTGAGGGATGGATAGACCAAGAGCAGAGGGGAGTGTAGGATATATTTTAGGTCAGAACCTTTCAAATTGCAGGGCCTACTCTAGAAGTGTAGAAAGGGTTTTTAATGAGGGAAGAACTTTATCTCGTTATTTAAAAATAGTGTTTATGCCCTGGCCGGTGTTGCTCAGTGGTTAGAGCGTTGCCTTCACACCAAAGGGTCACGGGTTCGATTCCCAGTTAAGGGCGCATACCTGGGTTGCAGGTTTGATCCCTGACCTGGTTAGGTCTTGTGTGGGAGGCAGCTAAAGGATGTGTTTCTCACATGGATGTCTCTCTCTCTCTCTCTTCCTCTCTCTCTTTCTCCCCCTCCCTCCCTCCCTTCCACTCTCTCTAAAAATCAATGGAAAGAGTATCCTCAGGTGAGGATTAATAATAATAATAATAATAATAATAATGCTTACGTACCTTGTCCGCTGTGGCTCAGTTGGAGCATCGTCCCATACAGCAAAAAGTTGCAGGTTTGATTCCAGGTTTTGGGTTCGATCCCCATCAGGACACTTACCAGAGGCAACCAGTCTGTGTTTTTCTCTCACATTGATAGGTCTCCCTCTCTCTCTCTCTTTCTTCCTCCCTCTCTAAAGTCAATAAACATATCCTTGGATGAAGATTTAAAAAAATTTTTTTTAAATAATGTTTACAAAGAGTTTGTAAGAACGTTGAAGATATGCATGTGCCATATAATATAAATATCTATATATGTATATGTACTCATAACTTGATTTCATTTATGCAAAAATATGCACTCCTAGTTAATAACAGCTTAGTCTTATTGAGTTACTACATGTCACAACAACCCTATACAGTAGGCACTATCATCTCCATTTTTCAGATGAGGAAGCTGAGGCACAGAAGGATTAGGTAATTTTCCCAAGATTCCACAGCCAGTAAAGGACAGCTCAGATTTGAACCTTGTCAGTCAGCCTCTAGAGCCCATACTCTTAGCTCCTATATTAGGCAGAGAGAAATCCATGAAAATATCCGCTGTCTTTGGGTGGTGGTTTATTTTCGCCTCTATCCCCGGGTTTTCTGTGCAGACTGAATGGGGAAGAAGGGTGGGGTGGTGAACTTTGAAAGACAAACATATGCTTCAGAACAAAAAAATTCACCCTATTTCCCTTTTCCACTTTTCTGAATCTTCTAGGACTGATCACCACAATTCGGCAGGTCACTGAGTCCCTGTCCCCAGAAGCTGAAGCCAGCACAGCACTCATTGCAGGTAACAGAGGCTCTAAGCCAAATCCAAGGGACGTGCCCAGTTCAGGGGCCATCTCGTTCCAGACAGCCAGGAACCCAATGTGATGGCCTAGGATTTCCCTGTACGGGAAAGCACTGCGAATCAAGAGACCAAAGGCACGAAGGGGCTCGTTCTGGCACGTAGGTTGTCTTACACACACACACACACACACACACACCTCCGAAAGACTCTTCAAGGCTTCTGTCAGAGGCACTGCCAGTAAATGATAGGTTGGGAGCTGGCCACAAATAGATATAAGTGCATGTGGGCACGACATTTCAGTGGGTGGGTACGGAGAGGGATGTGTGTGGTTTGCCCAGTGGGTGAGGAGAAGATGGGACGGAGCAGAGAACCCCCTGCAGGAGACTGGATTTAAACAACCCTTCCTGTTGGGATAAGCTGTTTCCTGTTTGCCTCTTTCCTGTTTCTATCCTAGTCATCAGGAACTGGTTGAGAGAGAGTTCAGCTTTATCAGAAGTCAAAAGCCTTGTGTCCTTAGCTCGAGATCCCAGAGATCGTGTCCCACGGAGTTGGGCTCAGTAGGGGAATATAGCTTTGGAAGTGGACACCAGGTAACTAGGCCAGGGGGATCCTTATGAAAAGCGAGGGAATCGTCTAATTCAGGGGACCCCCATGAATACTGGGACATACTGGATCCTGAAACACCTCTGCCTTTTCCCTCTCCTTTCCAAGTTGTTATCACCGTGGTCTTCCTCACCCTGCTGTCAGTCGTGGTCTTGATCTTCTTTTACCTGTACAAGAACAAAGGCAGCTACGTCACCTACGAACCTGCAGAAGGAGAGCCCAGCACCATCCTTCAGATGGAGAGTGACTCGGCCAAGGGCAGGGAGAAGGAGGAATATTTCATCTAATGATTCCCTGGCTCCGAGGAGCTTATCCAGGCTCCAGTGCTAACACATTGACTATTTAATTTATTAGGTAAAAGTTTTATCTGAAGCCAGTGAGAAGCATTGATTGGTATGGGCAAACCTGAGCTCCTTCCGGGAGGAGGCCCAACTCCATCACTGACGCCAGCAACCAGGCACACGGAGAAAGCTGCTTACGGCGTCTTTAGCCGGGCCTTTGTAATACAGTGGTGTTTGTGGCTGACCAACAAGGTGGAGCTATGCCAGGCAACATCTGAGTATGTGCCCACTCATCTTCAAGTTTTTTCACAGGTCAAAGGGGAGGAGAGTTAGGGTCACTGGCTGCTCCTCTGTCCCCTACCTGGTCACCTGGTGACAGCCCCAGTGGAGGTAGTGTTCATAGAAGTTCTTCCCAGAGGCTGGATACCACAGTAACAGGCCAGGCCAGGAGGGGTAGGAGACTATATAGAGACCTTACCTCCTAATGAATGTGCACATCCCTTAATCTGAGCCCTTCCTTTCTGTATTTCCCAACCTCATCCTTAATGCTATTTTTATCAGAATTAAATTTTTTCATTGATTAAGAAATCAGATTCTCATGTGCAAGAAATAAGTACCTTTACTGTTTTGTTTTAATCCAAAATGTGTTTATTGGGATGGTTCCTACTTGTCTTGATTCAGGGTGCTTTTAGTGCTGCTTCCTTGTGAAAGCATTTTCCTGTAAATCTTGCTTTTCCTCCTGTGGGCTGACAGAGGACGTGGAACAGCCAACACACAAAACTACCATTTGTGCATGGCCAAAGACGGTGTTGATTTCATAGCACCCTGGGCATTTCACACCCAGGAAGTAGGAATTGGGGTTGTCCCCCAGGCACTTCCTCCTGTGCTTCCTCTTCTGGAGAGGTACGGAGATCCTCAGCAAGAGGCATGTTGTCATGGGGAGGTCATCACCGCTGGAAAGACTACCTTTACATTTTGACTTATCCCTGCTTAACTTTTTTGACCTCCTTTGTATATGTTCTTTCCCAAGCAGAAAGTACCCTAGGGAAGTTTCTGAAGTTCCCAGAACAGTCTGAGTTTTGAAACAAAACTGGTACTGGGAAGCTTGTCCCAGAAGAGCGTCATTACAAACATGCCCTGGGAGATGGATTGGTTCATTCTCCATCCTGGCAAAGGCCACCACTTCCCAGAATCCATTCCCTGTATACGCAGAGGGAATCAGGAACAGTCTACTTACCACTTTTCCCACTAGTGCTCTTGAGTGAAGCCCAGAGAAGCTGCTTGGATCTAACGTATCTTAAAATGAGGTTATGTTTAAAAGGCCCAATTGGCCCTGGCTGGTGTGGTTCAGTTGGTCAGAGCATCATCCCATGCACCGAAGGATCCTGGGTTAGATTCCCATTCAGGACACATACCCAGGTTTGTGGGTCTATCCCTGGCAGGGACACATACGGGAGGCAGCTGATCAATGTTTCTCTTTCACATCAATGTCTCTCTCCCCCCTCCCTCCCTCCAAAGTCAATTTTAAAAACACACAACATATCCTTGGGTGAAGATTAAAAGGCACAATTGTTTTGGTAGAAATCATTAGCTCCCCAGATATTTACTTTGGGATTAAGCTAGATTTTCTTTGAATTGCCCCCATTGTCCAAGTCCACCCAAAGTGTGGGTGGACACTTTGAGTTAAGGAATCAATCTTGGCAACCCAGATTCCAGTTTTCAGTATTTCTCCACACAGAAGTTTGGAGAAACTGAAGGTCACCCTGAACTTACATAAACTATTAGACTAAAAACATCTTTCTCGAGTGAAACTTTAGGGCAAGTTAGGAGAGTCTATGTCTTTCCCTTATTTCGAAGTTTATGTTCTGAATTCCTCTGGCATAAAAGACTTTTAAGAGTCTGAATGGGGGGTGGGGGATGGAGGTGGAAGAGCGGATAGGGGGTATAAATGGTGATGGAAAAAAATAAAGGGAAAAAATCTCACACAATGGGAAAAAATAATCTGAAAGAGCTTAGGAAGTAAAATGAAGAAAAGTTAAACATCTAGGATGAACTCATGAAAATGGTCCAATCTGAACATTGTCTTCCCTCCTGCATTTACTTCAAAGGCTTCATTAAAAAAAAAAAAAAAAATGGTAGCGGCACCTATCTGAATTCTTGGTGGGATCTAAAAACAAGCGGAGTAAAGAATCCTTGAAGTAAGGTGTAATGCAACTTCATCACTTTATTCAAATCTTCAAAATAGTCTTTATTCTACATTTTTAGTATAAAAAAATCCACAAGTTAAGTGCACCACAGTGTAGAGAGAGACATACAACGCTTAACTTCCATAACAGTCAATGGTACAGTCAAACATCACATGTACGGAACACAAAATTTAGATGAACTGAAATTATAAGATAAAATAAAATAAAATCCAATTGCCAAAAACAAAAATTAAAATATTAAGGATCCCTGAAATATTCTTAACCCTAATGAGATTTCACTGGACTCAAGTCATTTTGTAGTGAGGCATTCACAATATGACCCCATTAACCCAGCTTAAGAATTATTGGGAGCCATGAATGGCTGCATCAGACACTGGGACAATAAATGATAACCAATTTTTATCTGAAAACGCCCCTTAAATTTGGCTCTGGTCATGAGGCTTGTGAAGTGCATCCTCCTCCTGCCCTCTCCCACCACCACACACATTTTAAACTGTTGTTTACAGTGCAGTTTGTGTTGCTATCCTTTGTTCAAACAAGCTGTTTTTCTGGCACCAAAGCAAATGTGGGTTTGGTTCATGTATGAAGAGACAGCCTATGAAGAGGGTCCAAAAGGCACCCTCCCCTTTTGCCTGAGGAGATGCGTTAAGCGGAAGTAATGGGTCTGTGCTTGGGGCACAGGGGGGTTTCAGAGGATCCTTGTGAAAGACTAGTTAAAAGATGACAAGTGGGGAGAAGTGCAAGGAGAGAAGGAAATTAGTCTGACTGGCTTTCTGTCCTGCACCACTGATTCAATGGAGATTGGCGGGAGGGGAGGGAAGATGGGTAGAGGGTGGGATGTGGGACAGAGGATGGAAAAGAAAAGGCAGACAACTAATGCATTTCATTTATAACAAGCAATATAAATCGACTTAAAGGAGATTAAAGACCAATCAGAATAATTTGGCAACTTTAATTCTTAGGAAGATCAAAGTTCCCTCCAAACCTAATTTGATGTTTTATTACTAAAAGCAAAGACCAGTATGGTACAGTATTACTCCAGAGGAATTAAAGGAAGATCCTTAGGGCTGCTTCACCCACATTCATTTTATGAATGGATACCTCCCCTACCTCAAAATGCTTTAGGGAGGTACTGCTACCATTACATGGTTCCTTATTAAGTTTGAAAAGTGCCTGAAAATTTGGGCACCAGAAAGACACCCCAACAACATGTGTCTTAAACTGCAACTTCAGGTTAATATGACTAAAGCAGTTACATTGTGAGAAGTGCTGAAGGTATGTGATGTCTTTCCCGGCACAGAGGTGGCCTTGGTTCTTCACCAGATGGTGTACCCACCATCTGTGCCACCCATGAAGAAGTTCCCCTTCCGCTGAGTTACGAGGACATTGGCTCCCTGCATGACTGCAAGCTGAGCAGCATTGGGAGGGCATCCAGGGGGTGGAGGCTGAAAGGAAAAGACAAGATTGATTGGGCACAAGGCAGCTGACACAAGGGAAGTGGGCACAGGTGAAACAGAGGACCTGTTAGGAAGATGGCAATGTGCTGACCAAAAGCATCTTTAAGAGCTAGTTCTGCCACCACTCTGGGTTCTAAAGCAGATCTGTGAACCCAAAGATACAAACAGGAAAGAGAGCACCACTTATTCAAAGGGTTCCAGCTCCAAGGTAAAGCCTATGGATACCTTCTGAATATGGGTGGTCCAGACCCAGTGATTTCCTACCCACATTCCAAAAACAGGGATGGGGTGCCAGCCATGGCCCTATATCACAGGGTCCCTCAATAGTTTTCAAATGACAATGGGATAACCAAAAGGCTCTACCTAATGACACCATTCCCACCTCATTTCTAATATATGGTAAGTAAACAGGCCTCAAGACCTACCAAGGACGGTTTGGGCTCTAAATCCCATACATAGGGAAACTAAGCAGGAGACATAACTAAAGTCCCTAGGATCTTTCTAAAAGTTAATTAATAGAGATTATGCATTCTACTTTTTTTTCTTTTTTTAAATATATCTTTCTTGATTTCAGAGAGAGGAAAAGCAAGGGAGAGAGAGAGATAGAAACATCAATGATGAGAGAGTCATTGATCGGCTGCCTCCTGCACGCCCCCAACTGGGAATCGAGCCTGCAACCGGGGCACGTTCCCTGAACAGGGAATCGAACCCCGATCGCCTGGATCCTGGGTCGACGCTCAGCCGCTGAGCCACGCCTGGCCGGGCTGCATTCTACTTTTTTAATCACCATGGCTCCTAATACAATGCCATTCTGATGGCAAATTTTAAGTAAATGCTATGGAATGAATAAAGAATGTTACTAGACCAGTTCATTGTACCAAACTGAACTGCACAAGGAGCAGGCAAAACTCCTAAGCCAGGAAAACAAAAGAATCTGGTGAACTCAGACCCCAGTGAATGTCCCAGATGCTACTGCCCTGCCAGTTCTCCTGCCCTCTCCATTGCTTTCTGCCTGACCAGTGGCTGTGTCATTGGTTGCACTAATTCCAGCAACTATTAATCAGGGATGGTGAAAGGATGAGTATGTAGTCATTTCAGAAAGTTAAAATATACAAGGGCTGAGTTTTTTCTGATAAAGTCATACTCACAGGAATGTTGCCAGCAGTAGCCCCAGCTCCAAATCTGGCACCTGCATCATACGCTCCTTCCACGAGCACTGTTGAACCAGGTGGATAGATGGGGCCAACTGGATAATAAGCCATAGGGATTGTGGAACCTAAAGGCCCAACAGCCACAGACTGGGCCATGGGAAGATACAGTGAGGCGCCAGGAAATGCAGCTGACATGGTGGGAACTGTGGCAGCCCCTGGGTGCACAAAGCTTGGGCGATAGAGCTAGAAAAGGCAGAAGGCAAATGTTACTTGATGACATTCCTATTTCAGATTCCATTTCCTCCTCAATGAGTCATTCTTAATTCTCTTTGTGCAGATTACAATCTAGGAGTTATATACAGTTATATACAAATTGCCTTTCCCCTACCGCTCAATATCCTCCTAGATCACTTCCTGCTACAGCTCAAGGAAAACAAACTCATCTTAACCTCAGCCTGTGCCAAATAATGTAAAATAATCAGATAATGCATTCTGAACCCAACAAATTGATGAACTATATATTATTTTAAATTATTCATGTCAGCACTCTTCCGTTTGTGAATATATGGAGTCAGACTTAGCTAAGGACTGAAAATGTGATCCAAAAGTATTCCCAACCAGTTCAAGTCTAGTAAAATGGAAGCACCTCTGAGTAGGCAGGTGGAGCATCAGTATAGGGTGGAGCCTGAGGGAGATGCAAGGTTTGAGGGTACACTGGATTCC